CCCCCCCCCCCCCAAGTACAAATTGTACTAGACCTGTGACTGCAACTCTGATGAGGCATAAACGTATTAAATGGCATCTTTCTGCTGTTAGAAGACTCTATAACTAGTATATGTATACGTATAGTATAGTAGTAAATAACAATCTGAAATTGATACTAGGTTTTCATTTTGTGTTCAAAACTGTACTGGAATCTGCTGTGGTTGACCCAAAAACTCAATCTCTGCTGGAAATCAAGGGAAAAATAGAAAATCTGGTGTTTGGATGATCCCTTGTAGGATTCAGTACTACAATCCCTGTAGAAATACTACAAGTCACTTCATACATCACCTGTGTTGGAATGCGTTCAAAATCTGGAAGAACGTCTTGACAACAGATGAGAATCTCTGGTGTTTCTGGAGCTTCTTAATACAAACCAAGTAGTTGACATGGGATAAAGCTTCCACTCATTTGTCAACCAAATCTGAAAATGCCTTCAAACATATTTGTTGCCAAGTCTCAGAGATTAGCAAAACAATGAAAATGCACTGGTTTTGTAGTCCTCCTTCTGATGATGATGTTCTGAATTCCATGGATGATAAAGCTGAATCCTTTGATACCAATGGTACCAAAACCAGAACAGACATCTTCCTTTCCCAAGCATTTCAAAATTTACCCTCCTTGAAGTGTCAGAAGCTTCTTGACATAACCAACCGATGGTCGAGAGTCTCTCACAATGCTTCAACATCTACACGGGATCCTCTTGCACACTCCAAAATGAAGCCAGACGCCACCCTCACCAATGCAGTTCTAAACAACATTTTCACTGACCCATTTGTAGCAAGTGGGGTTGGAAAAAAGCAGGTCCTTACCAGGAACACCGTGAGATCTTCTGATGATTTGCATGCTACATGAGCAAACCTTGAGCAGGAGTTTTTCCCAACTCTTTGCTTTCTTGCTGATCTACAGGTGGCTGAAGGTCAACCACAACCGTCACTTGAGGACAAACATGTTACTCCTTCTTGGGAAATAGTCCTTCATCAGACAAAGTTCTTCAATGCCAAAACTGCATTGAAGGAATTCTGGGAGTACTGCTCTGTTATCAAAAAGATTTCAAATATGTGGATGGCATGGAGATTGGAATTTTTGATGAAGTTTTTGGATTGTTGGTGAAGCAATTTTCATCTGATGTGAGTTCCTTCAATAGTTTTTACATGGCAACTGAATTTCTACACTTAGTTGTGGAGGTATTTCCCAAGTACCTGAAGGGCACAGTCATCAATGATGGGGACACCACAGAGACTGAGGAAGAGGAGGTAGCGCTGCCTGACCAGAACCCTTTGTGTGTACTACCTGACTATTCCCCAGATGATGTTTGTGTGTCAGAACGTGCAACTTGTACTATATCTCTCCTTCTGGTGTGTGTTCTTTTACTTTCAAAGAACAACTTTGTTTGGCATCTGAATTCTATTGTTTTCAATCATTGGTAAGACTTCCTCTACTGCTTCCCTCTAGCCACACAGACATATTACTACCCACTCTTCTTGTTTTCCCCATTGAATACAAGAAGAAAAAGCAAAAGGCAAACGATGGTGGTGAACCATTAGCTGTCTCAATGAAAGACATCTTATCAAAATTAAAAAATATGGCAACCCAGAAATTCTTTGCTTTCATTTACCTTCTATCATACACTACCTGTGAGGACCGCCAGGACTGGTTGACCAATGCCAACAACAACAACTGTGAGCCTAAATCACAAGTAGATAGTGAATAAGCTCACTCTTTATTGTAAACCACATATTATTGTACACTAAGGAGCCTATCAACATTTCACAGGTTATGAGCAACAACAGACTTACCTCAGCTCATCATCTTGTCCAACAGGGATGGTGGTGGTAAAAAGGCAAATGTTGACGGAACTGCCAATGATGAGGACAAAAGCCAACCAATTATTACTCAGGAGGATAAGGACCTGGGTGATAGTTCTGATGGAGAAAAAAGTGACCCCACTTATTCTCCTGAGGGCAGTGATGATGGTGATGATTATGACCCATGTATCACCTCACCATCTGGGGATCACAACACTGCTGGCTTGCATCAGCAAGATAACAAGAAGATGTTGCATACTACACCCCCAACCCCTCTGAACTATATTGAATGTTACACTGTGCAGCACCATCCATTACTAATTATCTCTAAGTGCACAGGGTGAAATGCATTGTGTCGTTGCAAAAATAATCACAAAATGGGGGTCCTCAGCAAGCTTGATAATCATAACTTCACCGTGTTAAGTGCTCGCACAAAAACTACATGAATGGGGCTGCGATCAAACCTTGTGAACAATTTTGTGACATAGTAGGAAAATACAAAAAATGGTTTGGTCTTGAGTTTGATTCAACAATTGACCACGATAGGCTCCAGCAGGCTCTATGCAATTTCTACACTGCTGGTGGTGGCTGGTGAGCAGCTGGCCTGCTGCTGTTGCTCATGGAATACCTGGTAGCTCTATTAGACTCTCTACATATGCCAGCTTCTGTCACTTCTGTCACAGCATTGCTCATATATAGTAGTAGTAGTCTATATCCACCATAAATAAATAAAGTATCATGCAGCATGCTGCAGGCACACCACAACAAGTTGATCAATCCTGGATCTTAATTGAGCACTTCACAACTATTGGGCAAGATTGTTGTGGTGCTGGTTGCTGTTTTTCAAGCTTCACCAGATAGTAGCCTGTGTTATTTTAGCATGCAAAATAACAGCAGCAGCTAAATCACTTGTAGCAAAACAACAAGATGGTTTTATTTAAAAGCAAGAAGCAACAACAAGAAGAAAGACCCAACAACAATTACAACMACCACCAGTAGTAGGAATCAACAATCCACACACCAGTGCATGATAAGGAAGCAACAGCTTAGAGCTGAGTGGAGCTCATCAGAGCTTTGCTAAAAAATTAGGTAGTAAAAAATACTACATTTTTTTACCACTCCTATGATGTGCGTGTTGGTTACTGGATGGAGGGCCCTGTACTCCTTACACACTTTCCTCGTACAGCTGGTACTCCAAGCAAAAAAGATCTGTCCACCAACCGACACAACCGTTTTTTCTTCCTTGTTTCGGTAACCACCGATTATTTTTTTACGAAACCAAACGATGTTTTACGGACCTGACCTCCAGTCGTTTTTTGATACGAGGAAAAAACAAGTATTCTTTGTCGGTAGCATACGGTAGGTGTATGACTGCCAACGATTTTTGCACAACTCCGTAAGGGATCATTCCATCGAAACTATCAATAGATTTGATTGTTCCTCTCATTTCCCAAGAGAAAGACGAATACTATTACAGCATGAAGAAGAAATCCAAGAGCAAAACCAACCGAAAGGAAAGTTCCGAAGTGGATACAATGGATTCTCCCGTGGCCGAAGAATCAACACCCATAGAAGACAAGCTCGAACGAGGAAATCCAAACGTTGAAGATGGCAACGCCGAAACTTCTATTTTCTCCACGAGCGATGGAAAGTATCGGAACAAACAGCGATGCTTAGTCCTTTGTCTTCGAGGTGCTACTGCTCGTTACCGTCATCTATTAGAGGACTTGCGTACACTGTTACCGCATCACAAGAAGGAATCTAAACTTGACTCGGGAAAAGGCGGCGCTGCGACGGCTGTCAACGATATCGCACAGATCAGGGGCTGCAATACCGTTTTATTCATGGAGTGCCGCAAACGCCAGGATGCTTACCTGTGGCTTGGTCGAACTGGTGATAATCATGGGCCATCGGCCAAGTTTCATCTTACAAACGTTCATACGATGGACGAACTTCGCCTCACGGGGAACTGCATGAAGGGAAGTCGCCCGATCTTGACATTTGATGAGTCCTTCGAGAAACATGGTCATCTTAAACTTTTGAAGTCGCTCTTCACTGATGTCTTTGGAACACCAAGGGGTCATCCGAAGAGTAAACCTTTTGTGGACAGAGTTATGGCGTTTTATTATGCTGACAAAAAGGTACGTTTTTGGAAATGTTCCCCACTGTGCGCCGAAGGCGAGCGAGGTGGATCATGTGTGTTGTAACGAGAGTCACTGATTACACAAAATGATGAGCGTATGTCAGACCTTCGGGGATGAGAAAAAACATCATGTATTAGACTACGATGGAATGAGACTTGAAACAAAGCAATACATTTGGATCTTTTGCAACTCCATTGCATCATTTTGTGGATTTCTCACTTATCGGGTGCCCCTTTCTCCCCTTCCATTTGATTTTCACTCTGTAATCGTAGATATGGGTACGAAACTACCAAATAGTGGAAGAACAACCCACGAATGCACTGGAGGCTCACCAAGCAAAGAAACTGTCGGGACAAGAAGAAAGCACGTCCCTAGTCGAAATTGGACCTAGATTTGTTCTCAATCCTATTCGAATCTTCAGGGGTTCATTTGGTGGCCAAACATTATTCCAAAATCCAGACTTCGTTTCGCCCAACGAAATTCGCGCGGTTGAGAAAAAACGGAAAGGGCGTTCCTATGAACTAAGGAAAGAAAGCCAGAAAATGCGCAAAAGTCGACAGGAAGACTATGTTCTGCCTGAGGATCCTTTGAATTCTGTTTTCCGATAAAATTAGAATTCAGTTAACGACATTTATTGATTCAAAATGACTTTTGGATCTACATTTTGTTCCACCATTCCTGCTAGTTTCGACCGATTCCCGATGTGGAACGCTTGATGCATAAACTTAGCAAATTCGAGTTTGTAGAATTTTTTTTGATAACAAATTGCGGTGTTCACGAATTTTTGCGTGGTTAGCGAAAGTTATTAGTGAAAGGAATTATCGTGTCAACTTCTCCGTCTTAGTGAAGGTAGCAGCAGACTGAAATCTGATTGGTATTCCAGAGGGATCTGTCAATACCAGCTCCTGGCCAGATTCTTCTTCTGTTGACGGATTGTAAACAATGTTCAGCGAATCAATGACTGGATTTGGTACGATTGCCTTTTTCTTCTTCCCTTGTAGAAGAAGAACTCCCATACAATTTGGAGATGGCGACATGTACACAGAATTTTTCGGGGGTGCGGGTTCAAACATAGTCGTTCCCTTCGAAGGCCGCGAATAAGGTACCTCTTGTTCTACAAAGCCAAGCTTTTCATAAAATTCTTTGCTTTCCTTAACGTCCTGGCAGTTTATCGCGACATACATTATCGGATCAGGGGCGATGCCGACAACTCCACGTATAGGGAGTCCACCAGGTGAAACGACGTTTACGAGTCCATACGCATCCAAAATTTTTCCTCCATTTGCGATCATTTGACTGATACGGTAACCTGGGACTCCCACTTTCAAATCGAATAGAAACATTGAAAACGTTAGATGGACAGCTAGCTTTAAAATCAGAGATACGCTGTTAATTATTATAGCATGCAATTAATTGACTCACGTGCAAGGTATGCGATACTGTTTCCAGGTGCATCATCACCTTGTCGGTAAAAAGGTGCTACTGTTTGAGAATCATATCTCACATTGATGGAAGCATGGCCACCATATTTGTCGAAGGAAGATACAGGAAGTTCAAAATCGTCGGGCACACTCAATTGCTCTGGTCCAAATCCAAGCCACTATAATTTTTCAATGTATGCGAACAGTATTTTTCTGATGAGCCGAGTTATTTGATTCGAAAGGATGCTCATAGATCGTTAATCACTTCAGGAAATCAACTCACCGTCTCTTCGACAGAACCTTTTATTCTTTGTCTTTGAACCTGTAAGCTGAATGCACCCACTAGGAAATCAATCATTGTTTTTTGTTGAGACGCATCTGCTACGTTTATGGTGAGGCCTTGAATGATTGCGTTGGTATCAGAAAATTCGGGAAGAGTTCCTACCGCTGCGGAAGAGATTTCGGGAGAGAAAATGGATGCTGGCAAGAAAGTTGCCGACGCCAGAGCTACCGTTTTTGTCATCATTTCTCTTCTGGACTGCGCAGCTCTGTTATCTACGTCGCAAATGCTGTTGTCATTGTTCTTCGATTGATCTGAGCATGTCAGAAGATTCCTTTCATATTTTAATGCTGACGAAAGTCCTGCTGTCGAATATTCCGGAACCGTGAAGCCATCAACGGAGCCAATTGTGGCAATTGCGACCGCTTTCGCGATGAGAAGTAAAGTTTGATTGTTTCGCCGCATTTTCAATTTTCTATCCCTCGGGAATGATCTTCCACTCTCTTAACAGCAACAGAAATATTTTTTTTGAAGTGCCGTATGCGATACGTAATTACAGCCCCGAAAGATGCAACTCTTCGTGGTATATTATGATGTTGCCAGACGCCGGAAGACACATCAATGAATCATACCATCATCGAAGGCAGCAAGAGCGAGTTCCAGATCATCAAGATCAATCTCAGTCTCGAGACCAACACATCATCGTCATCTTTTGACAGATTGATGTACAGGTATGATTGCTTCCATGTTTACTTTAAATTTAATTGGATATTGTGACGTCAGCAATCTTGCTAACTCGCGCGCATGGGGACATCACAATAATGTCATTTCTCTGCAGGAGGACGATATTGAGATGAGGAGACCCTGGACACTATCGTACCGGTAGTATTATTATTTTTTTGATTTTAATTCTGGTACTTCTACTTCTTTTGATACCGTACATGACAACCTAATTCTTTGCTGTAAATTGCTACTGTAAACATGCAAACTTGTGTTTTTATCATTATTGAATAGATTTCTTGATGACGTAAAGTGTAAATTGATACTGCAAACATGCACGCTTATGTTTTCATCATTATTGAATAGATTTCTTGATGACGTAAAGTGTATTTTCTGTTGGTGCTGTTCTCTTTCTCGAGAAGCAAAGAATAGCTACTTACTTTCTCTCCGACGAATCCTTTTCATTTTCATTCCTGGTCAAACCCTGTCGAAGAGTGTTTTGGACGGATAATTATACCAGTATGTATGGCCACGTTCCACAAGGCTATACAGAAGACTCAGTTTATTTCTTTTTCTTTCTTTTTCTTCTTTCCATTTTCATGTTGTTCACTAGCAATGCCTACCTTTGTCAATGAGTGCAAGTTACGATTTAAGCCATCTAAACTACCCAGAGCGAATGGGCTGTCCTTGTTGACAGCTGGATCCAAATATACGACTTTATCGACACCCGCATTGCTACTCTTCACCATATCAGCATAGATTTCAAACAAACATTGCTGCTGTCCAAGCGATGTTTGACTCAATAACTTGGCCCGTTCCGCTTCGGCGGCAGCCTTGAGTCGGATCGCCTCGGCTTCAGCCTTTGCCTTCAGTAGGATGGAATCAGCCTCTGCTTGAGCTTCTGTGATGGTCTGCAATTTGAGTGCCTCAGCTGCGGCTTTGGCGGCCTCAATTTTGCGGGTATTTGCAGCAGAATCTAAGGTTTCTTGGGACTTCGCTTCTGCCATGGCCTTGATCTTTTCACAGTCTGCGGCTGTTCGTTCCTTTTGCACCGCAATCAAGTTTTGTCCTTGCAAGTTGGAAAGCTGATTTTCGACGTGTGCTGTCGTCAAACAATTCTGTGCAATTTCGTTGGCCAGTTCCGTATCCATAATCTTGAAGGATTCCATCCGAATATTGGCAATATCCACTCCATATCGCGTCACCTAGGGAATAGAAGGGCGAAAAGCAAATTCGATGGACGTGAGATACAAGGGACCAAACAATGTATTATATCGTATGAGATGCCTGTAATTATTCACTTACAAAATCTTCGTGAAGTTTCGACATAAATTCATCATGTGCTCTATCGAAGAAGTAGGATGTAGCAGCTTGTTGGTCAAGCTCTGTAGTATCCTCTGTTTCTTCATCGTTCACTACTTCGGCGTTTGCGACCATCAAAGGCTTTTCCTCTCGTGCAGCAGATATCTGACGACTCTGAGCAATCTGATTTAAAGCTGTTGAGCGAATGATATTAGTCAAGGTGGCCACGGCCGTTTCTCGAACCAAATCCTCTAATTCTTCGGTGTTCAGGGTCTGAATGCATTTTTCTGGATCCACAATCGAATAGAAGACGTCGGCGCGAACTCCTACCTTGACCAAGTCCTTGGTTTCACAGACAAGCAAATCTGAATCGTCATCAAGTTCTTGTTCTCTCTGTTTTCCGACCTTTCCTTTCGATTTGCCAATCTTATGGTGGGCTCCATATGTGATTAGTCGAATACTTCGCTGCTTCGTGGACAAAAATCTCTCAAATATGTGAGTTGAACTGTCGATGACGTGTCTTCCATTTTCCAGAACTTTCAAATGACCCTCATCATATGTGATCGCAACTTCTCCAGTGTAAACTAGGATGACTTTCTTGGATCCTAGTTCAATGAAACGCTTCGATGCATCGACAAATCCGACGAAATGCACGTTATTGCTGTTGAACTCGTAAAGACCTGGTTTGTCTAGAAGTAAGGGCTCGTTCTGGTTCCATGTCAACGCAATTGTCCCCCGGGGAACCTGTAGAATAGTAATGGTTCCATGCGATATGCATAGATTATCTGGAGAAATTATCTCAGTACCTTCGTACGAGAAGTTGGGTGACTCAATAATGTGCCTTCCCTCTCCGTAAAGGCGAGGAAGGTTATCGCAATTGGCCTTGGCCACTCGACCTTTTACAACATTCAAGATGTGAATAGAATCATGACCAATGTATTCATCGCTAATATTGACGAGACCAACGTATTTGAAAAAGGTCGACTTGATGAAATGTTCTCCCTCCTTGATGAGACGGGGCACCAACGATTTGCCCCCATTCGTGCCCAGGACTTCTACCCAGACCTTGGCATTTTTACCTCGTGGTACGTTAAGGTAATGATATGGGCCATGACTGAAATACTTTTGTTTGGCATATTCCACGACACCATAATACTGAACTGTTCCCGTGTTAAAAACATGCGTTCCAACATCTAGAAGATTATGGACTCCTTGAATTGTTATCAAACCAACTTGGCCTTCAATGATTCGAATAATTAACACTTGGTTGTTGCCTGCCGTGATTAGGTTTGTGTCCAACGAAATATTCTTTTTGTCTGTCACCCAGTGAGCAAGACTATCGCCCAGCAACCACCAGCGTCCTTCAGAAACGGCGTAGAACGTTTCATATTTCTTGTACAATGAAATGCAACCGGGACGGATGGTATGGCCCAAAAAAGCAATAGCTCTCGAGTGAGAGGTTTTCTTTTTTTGCATTGTACGGGAAGAGTGATTTGTTTCGGCATCCACTTCTGAATCCAAAACCATTTCAGTGTTGATCATGTCGACGATAGTTTGTGGGTCGTTTTGGTCGGCATTAGGTCCAAGAAGGGGGAGGCCTTGCAAGAAGCCAACGCAGTCCTCGAGCGTCTGGGGAAGACGATCTTCGATTGGAGACTCGATGAATTTGAGCTTTCCAAAATCCATGTTGGATGGACTAAAATATCCTTCCACTTTCGCCTCCTCTTCGGAACCATCAACTTTCAGGTCGATGAGGTTGACGCTTTCGTCACCATCGTTTTCGATGAATTGATTTTGCTGCTTCGTGTTTTTGGATGAGTTGTTATTTTTCATTTCGAGATTTTGAATTTATGAATATTTGAAGGATCGATTGTGAAGGAATTGAAACGCAAATTGGTTACTAGTAGGGGGATCTTTTCCTTGAGAGGTGTCAGACAGTACTGACTAATTCAATCAGAACCGTATCCACGATTTGTTCTCATCGAGAGGTCTCAAAAAAGGAGTGATGAGCAATTATTTCTGTGTCCACCGCTGTTCTCGAGAGGTCTTCAATAAGTACCGAACGTACTTAGTTTGTTTTAACAGGAAAGGATTTTTTTCTGGGCCCTTGTACTATCGTATTGTTCTCTACTACTAACCACGATTAAAAAAGATCAGTGAATTTAATTTCACGACTCAGTTGTTTTCTTTTTTTAGAGTTCTGTTGATTGAAATTCTCAATTCTTTAACTGAAGATTCATTCTCAAAAGATAATATTCAACTCACACTACGAAGGTTCAAACAGCTACTGTAGTACTACTATACTTGTACTGTTATCATTTCAGTAATTTTTGAATCGCATGTGTTTTGCTGTCGTAATAGGAAATACAGAAATGTACTTACGGTTACGGCTGGAGAGAATGCTCATGACACGCATCAAGAGAGATACGTACCGGTAGGACTACCTGTACTTGCTTCAATTTCTACCAAGAAGTAATATTAGTTTGAAATAAAATAACTGTAGCTATGTTTGAATAACGATCGTAGTACACAATCAAAAACTATTGCTAAAAATAATTTGAGTGCGTCAGTTTGGTCAAGATGCGCATAATACGAACGAGAACGGTACGAACTACTTCTAGAACATACTTAATGAGATACATGAGTGACAATCAAGCACGCACTGGTGCCGTTGCATTGTCTGTTCTGATGTATCTGGCCCTTCCGAAAACACGAAAAAACTGTTCTCCATTACAGTAGTTAGCATTACTATACTACTGTACTTAAAAAAGATACACTTCTCTAACGTCACGACGATAATGATCCTCCGGCAACGAACTCTGTCGGTAGCGGCACTATTTCAAGCACTCCTGCTGTTTTCTACCTTCGATCACACTACCAATGCGTTTTTGGTCCCTGCCACAAAAGCGGGGAGCGAGCTTCATCCAGCCTCAAACGCTTGCTTCACGACGATGGTTGCATGCCCACTCCCACACCAGCGTCAAGATAGTACCATCCACGCAATACCTCACGACATTGATTCGGTACTACTTACAGACCTGGTAGCCACATCTTCCTTTCATTTGTCGGCTGTAGAAGTATTTGATGGCTCTACGATTGTAGACCCCGTTGTCGTTTCCAGTAGTTTCTGGAGTAGTTTACAGAGGCAAATACTGAGCGTCATCCTCGGTCAGTTTATTGCAAGCGTTGTCTTCGGTATTCTAGTAACTCTCCTGGCTCCTCAACTTGTCATCCTCCGAGACACAATCCTTGAGAAGTTTAATAATGACGAGAGCAGTACCACGAACGGTAATGGCAATAGAAACATCGATGCCACCTCTCCGAAAACATTCATCAAGGCCGATTCGATAGTCCGACCGGATCCCGATTTCGGAAAACTGTTGGTATGTTTGTTGATCGATGTAATCGGTTCCGCTTCGGAAGCTTTGCCCATCGTTGGCGAATTGACCGACGTTGTGTCGGCTCCGGTGCTGGGGTTGATACTACAAAAATTGTACCCTGGAAGCAGCAAGTTTGTCTTCTTTTTCGAATTCGCGGAAGAGATTCTTCCGTTGACAGATTTTATTCCGTTTGCCACAATTTGCTGGGCAGTAGATACATACTATCCCGAATCCACTATCGCGGAACTTTTTCAGCTCGGAGATTATAACGGCTCGGTGGTTACGGCGGAAGAAAAAGCCAACTCCTTGAACGCCTCGTCAGAACGAGTCGGTCAGGATGTGGATAGCAACATAAACAGATGACGAAAACGAAACACCACGAGTCAATTAGCCTCATGATGGCATTTCTCTGGAAAGAGTAGTGTAATTGAAGATTCTAATAGAAGTATAGTAGTGTATCGGCAATTGTGAAATGGTAATTCACTCGATATATAGCTCTAACAATTTTCGTCAATACATCAGACTCCAATAGCGCGATGGCGTCGACAAGTTTTCTACTTTTTCTTTCCGTCGTTGTCATTTGTGGAGCTGTCTCCTCTCCGGTCTGGTACGGAATCTAACCATTTGATAGGATGCCTATTATAAAAGGGCCAATCCGGGACGCACAACTGAATTCAAATAGTTTTTTCATTGTTGAATATTCATCACGAAACCAACAATACCCACCCAAAACAGAAAGCGGTAAGATTCAGAGAAAACGAATGGGTTAGAAAATACGGGAATGCAAATGAATCGAATCGAATCGAAACGGATGTGATGGTATCTCAGAGGATAACATGCCGTTCTATCGAACAAGGAGGATGACGCGTTTTTTTGTATGGACACATGCCACGGACTCTGCTGTTTTTTCGTTTCGTCAATCTTCTCCGTTGACTACGGTACAACTCGAATCCGGCAATCAAAACCTATATGATAAACGTACCACCGTCGACAGTACGACACCAACAAGCCAAAACTTGAAAACGATAAAGAATTCTTGTCGGAAGTAACCAATCACCCTTATGTAAAAAAAACGGAAGAAGCAATGGAATCGAATTAGATGGGGTCGCATATGACAATCTTCAACGTCATGAGCAATCTAGCCTGCAAACCGGAAAACTTGTTTATTGTCGTTGTCATCAATCACTTTTGCATTCTGCTCCTCACCATCCGACTCCCCCAAATCCAATAATAAGCCAGTAAAAAATGAGCTCGGAAAGCCTTTGTCCCTCGTAGTCCATTCTGTAAGTTATTTGTTTCAAAGATGCTGTTGTGTGCTATAGAGATATTGAAAGTTGCGTCAATAAGTTTCGGTTGGATCGAGCGACATTGGCAGACGGTCTCTTTGTTGTTCGTTCGGTTTTAGAGTTTAGCTGCTCTAGTCGAGTACGAGTACGAGCACGAGCACATACGTAGGGTTGTACTAGTACGAGGTCACAAGATAATTGGTATCGTCCGTTTCTGGGGTCTTACTGTTACACTGTTGTACCGTAAGGTATCGTATGGTACTGTACTTCCGTCTTTCATTAAGACATTCTGTACTTACTACCGTAACGTGAAGCTTTCTCTACCGGTACAGGTACCGGTATGTACGTTTAGAAGTGGGTTGTTAGAAAGTTTACTTCCACGTGGCAAATCATTTCATAATTTTTTTTTTTTGAAACTAAGGACTAAACTCTCACTTTTCAGTCACTTTTCAATCTTTCAGCCGAAGACGATCTGGCGCCTGAACAATCAACAAGACGTCAAAAAAACTAAGCACCACACTCCCCGGTGAACTAGACTGGAACCAACATGGAGTGCGTTCTCGCTTGAAAATATAGGGTATCATTGTCTATCTACAATCTGCAATTGCAACCGAACCATCGCACGAGCTTCGCCATGGCCGACTTCCAATCCAAGCGGAAAGCTACGGATATCACCGGTGGAGATGATAAACCCGACGATTCTTCTGCCATCGTTGCTTGCCCCTACCTCGACACCATCCAGCGATCAGTCCTCGACTTCGATTTCGAACCGTCGTGTTCCGTTACTCTCGAGAGCGGACCCCATGTTTATTCTTGCCTGGTTTGCGGAAAATTCTTTCGGGGAAAAGGAAAACACACACCTGCCTACACCCACGCGGTGGACGAGGGACACTTTGTCTTCATTCATCTCAACAGGGGGACCTTCCATTGTTTGCCGGACGATTACGAGATAAAGGATCCGTCGCTGGCCGATGTTTCCGCCGCCCTCCACCCAACCTTCACCGAGGAAGAAATACAACGATTGGACTCCAACACGGGCCTAGCTCGGGATTTGTTTGGGAGGCGGTATCTCCCCGGCTTTGTCGGGCTGAACAACCTCCACAAGACCGACTACATAAACAGCTCGATCCAAGCGCTAGCCCACGTGCGGCCCCTCCGCGATTATTTTCTCAGGCTCAGCCACCGAAATACTTTCGTTCTTACCAGTGCTTCCGACAAAAAGAAATCAAAGAAAAACAAGCCGCCAAAGGCTCCCCGTCGCATGTCCGATTTGGTCCAGTGCTTTGGGGAACTCATTCGCAAAATGTGGAGCAACAAACGCTTCAAATCAAACGTCGACCCGCACATGCTGATCCAGGCCATTAGCAGAGCGTCCAAGAAGAAGTTTCGGGTCGGACACCAGGCCGAAGTGGGGGAATTTATGGCCTGGTTTTTGAATCAGCTGCACGTTGGTTTGGGAGGAACCCGAAAGCCCGGTTCGAGTATTATCTATCGGACCTTTCAGGGAACCATAGAATTGACCACGCGGCAACGAAAGACGGCTGCCGCGCTCGAAGCGGCAGAAGCGGGGGACGAGGACGGCAATGGAGATGCCAAAAATGGCGGTGGCGGAACGGGGATGGAAGCAGACAATGGCCACGACGAAACAACAGAGCCGCTCACAACGGACAAAACCACGGATCCTGACATCGAAGAGACGACGATAGAAACCAGATTCCTCCAACTGACGCTCGACATTCCCGAGAAGCCTCTGTTCCGGGACGACGACGGTGGCCTGGTGATCCCCCAGGAGCCCCTGGTGAGCGTCATGAAGAAGTTCGACGGGATCACCTTTTCGGAGGCAATCAGCAAGAGCGGGGTCGCACAGCGCAAGCGGTATCGATTGCTCGGACTGCCTCCCTACCTCATACTGCACCTGGCGCGGTTCAAGACCAACAAGTATTCCCGAGAAAAGAATCCCACGATCGTGGCCTTTCCCGTGAAAAACCTGGACCTCGGTTCCTACACCTTTCCCAAGAACGGAAAAGAGGTCCCGCCTACCGAGGCGGAGGTACGGGCGATGACCGTGGCCGAGCTCCGGGCGCTGCTGAACGAGCACGGAAGGGAGGACCTCTCGGCCCACGCCCTGGAGAAATCCGAGCTGGTGGAGGCCGCGGTGGACTTTGTGACCAAGAGCCTGCCCGATCTGCTGGCCGACAAGTACGATCTGGTGGCGAACATCACGCACAACAGCCCCGCGGACGTCGGGAGGGAGGGCAAGCACGATCCGTTGCAGGAAGGCTCCTACAAGTGCCACATCGAGCACAAGAGCTCCAAGCAGTGGTTCGAGACACAGGATCTCCACGTCGAAGAGACCATGCCGCAACTCATCGGCGTTTCCGAGAGTTATCTGCTTATCTTTGAGCGCAAGGCCGCACAGCAGATGGATCTCTCCAGATAACAATACCTGCGCACGCAATCCAAAGCAGTGGTGGCGAGTTGTGGTTCCGCTGCGAATAAGGATATTTCTAGTTTGCAAGATTATTGGTTTTACGGATTGGTTCGTTCATAGCTGTTCCAAGCGTATTTTTTCCCAAAACGAAGCCTTGCCACGGGGAATCGCGTGCGCCACTCCCGTTCCTTACGGCCGTCGTCGCTTGGGATCCCTCTCTGCGAAGAGGTCCAGGATTTCTTGGTTCGCGGAGAGGACCCCGGGCTTCAATCCGCAGTGTTCCTCCAGCACGGCCAAGGGGTCCTCGCTTTCGCTTTCGCTTTGGCTCTCGTTGTCCCGGTCCTCGCCGCCGCCGCCGCGGCGTGGTCCTTCCTCCCCGGCGGCCGGGGACGGTTCCCGACCCGGCACCCTGGAGGTCCCCGGAGCCGAGCAATGCGGGCCTTTTCTCCGCAGCATTCCCTGCTCCGCCAGCTTGAGGATCGCTTCCTCGGGGGGGAGGGTCCACTCCCCAAAGGCCCGTTCCGTCTTCCACCGGATCCCCCGGGCCAGGTCGAGCCGGACCGCCTCCCCCGTGATCGGGTGCGCGACGGTCGGCGAGAGGCCCAGGGGCGGGAGGCCGCTCCCGTCCGCGGCCTCCATGGCCTCGAGGGCCCGGCACCTCAGCACGTGGAGGCCCGCCAGCGGCAGGAGGGACGCCGTGAGGGCCTCCTCCAGGCAGATGCCCACGGCCACCGCCGCGGAGTCCCCGAGGGCCGGGACCGCCGCCGGCGGGGATTTTCCGTCACCCGCCGCCGCTGCGCCGTTCCACCGGCCCCGGTGGACCTGCGGAAGCCTCCCCGCGACGTAGGAAGTGTGGGACGGGGGGAGGGGGGGATCCCCGGAGAGGGACAGGAGGGGGTTTCGGGGCGGCGGCGTTTCGCTGCCGGCGCCGGCGCCGCTGTTGCCCCCGCCGGCCGATTCCGCCGCCCACCCGACCAGGGCATCGATTTCCGTCGGGTCAAGGGTCTCGAAGAGGAGGCGTTCCCCCCAGACCTTGACGCCCTGCCGGTCGAAATCGACCGAGGCGTCCCTCTTCGCCTTGGACCGCGGCGGTGGCTTGGCCCGCTTCCGCCAGTCGTCAAAGCCCAGGCCGTTGTAGGAGTGGTCGTCCGAGTCGTGGTCGCACCGCCACTGCTTGTTCGTTCCCTTCTCGCTGGGGTGGAACCGCGGGACTGGCCGTGGATCTTCGGAGGCATCCACGGGGAGGGGGTCTGGTTCGTTGTTGTTGTTGTTGTTGTTGTTGTTGTTGCTAGTGTTGCTGCTCCTCCTCCTCTTACTGTTGCTACGATTCGTGTCGGCCCCGGTGCCCTGTTTCCTTCCTGATTTTTGGCCCTTCTTTGGGGACGGGTGGGACCGCTTGGGCGTGGAGACCGGAAGCTCGTCTTCGCTCGAATCGGTGCCGGCCCCGCTGCTCCCCTTCCATTCGCTGTCCTCACCGTCACTGCCGCTGTTTTCGGCTCCGGCTGCATTTGGCATCGCGTCGCTTGTTTCGTGCGGCGGGGCCAATGGCCCGTCCCCCCGGCCCCGATTCCCGCCGATGGACACCGAGGAGAACGAGGACACCGACGACGACGACGACGACGACGACGAAGGGGCTGTTCGTGTCACCGGGCTCATGGTTGCTGGGTGGGGGGTTCCTGTTCCTGTTTCATTGCCGCCGTCTGCGCTCGGAGGGTGTTGGTCGCTGTTTCTCCCCGGCCTCCTCTAGACATTCCTGAGGTGCTGGGTGCTTCTGTATGCTCGCTCGTCACTGTATCACAAGACACAGAAGGGTTTTTAATGGAGTTGATGGAGCACCGTTTCGGATTCCGAGACGGAACGAAAATCAGAAGGAAGGGTGTTTGTGATATCTGGATTGGAACGAACGGCGCGATCTAGTTTTTAGGGACTTACTACGCTACGGTAGTTCATCGCGCGGTATGAGGTGATTCCCGTTAATGATTGGGCGCTCCGCCTGTTTTCCTTTCCCTCAACCGACTCACTGGATTGACTGGATTGGTTGGTGAATGAATCGATTCGCTCGACCATCATTTTTGGCGTGTACAGTATAACTTATGATACATATGGTATGTACCATACATATGTTCTATTGGTCCTACTGCAAAATGGAGACTAGAGCATTACGCTATCGTACGGTACACAAAATACACCTATCCGTATTCGACTAAGTGGTTTACCACGTGTCGCTTTCAAGGCACATTCCTACTGTATTATTTACCTTTCCTACTGTATCATCATATTATCATACCAT